GAGGAGATAGCCCCGCTGCTGGACGAGAGGTGGCCGGATGACCAGTACAAGGTGACCAAGGAAGAAGAAGGTAATTTTTCCAGAGATAGCTCTGACCAGGATGTTGTGGTCGTGCTGGACACATCGAAAGAGGGGAAGAAAGGTCTTATCAAGGCACTGACTGACAAATACCCGGAGACGGAGGGCCTAGCCAGTACAAACGGAGACACCATTGAATACATAGTGAATACGACAAAGACGGTTTCCAGCAGGGGTGGTAGTGTGGAGAAGGAGAGATATATTTTCCTCCTCCCATGTAAAGCGTTCGGAAAAGCGACTGGTGGAGCAGATACTTTCTGGGAGCAAGCTACAAAGCTGAAGGTCCTCATGGACACAAATAGTAGGAAGAACGTCACAATGGTAACGGAAGGAATAGACAGCGAGTATGGGAGAAAAGTGCTGGAGGCCGTATTCTGCGGATCAGACATCAGCATCAGATTACTTCAAACAGCCTGGACCAAGAAAAAGGACGGCGGAAGAAACAACGAAGACGTAAGAGAAAAGGATAGCGTGGTCATCGTGAAAGCTGGCGAGTGTTCGTATGGGGATACGCTGAAAAAAGTAAAAGATGGAGTCGATATCAGAAGACTAGGAATATCGGTAAAGAGTGTGAGGAAGCTGGGTAGGGGGGACCTAGCGGTTACAGTAGAAGGAGGAAAGGCGAATGCTGATAAACTGCGGTCTGAGATAAGAAGCAACGTCAAGGACATTGACGTTAGAGTAAAGACGAACGACATAGTCATTGCAGTGTCTGGACTGGATATAACCACCACAGAGGAGGAGTGTAACGTTTTTATTTTCTAATATAACTAGCCTACATCAAAACGTTACTTTCCTACGTGATCTTCTACTATAATTCCAGATAAAACTCTCAAATGAAACACTATAGAAGTCAGACACTTTTATTGTATATTTTGTAACATAGTTCAAAGAGGTGTGTCTAGTTGAACACACTGTATACCACGCTGCCTCTCCTTGTGTCTCATGAGTTGTGGGTATCCTGAAAAAAAAATTAAATATAAAATCAATCTGAATGTCAACATTGAATAGCAACACAAATATTTTATCAAATGAAAATCCTACCTGAATCTTTTTGCATGATACGTGAACCATACAATATTATGAACCTGCTTGAGGTAGTCTTCTATTCAATGATGATTATCAAATTTCTGTATTTCCAATAGTTTTTCTGAAAATAAAGAAAACAACAATCATAGGAATTCACAAACACTGAAAATCAGACAAGGAATAACAAAAGATACGTACGATATACTCCTCCCGTGTTTATATGTAAATATTGTATAGTTAGATATAGTCGTGGGAAATTGGTTGGAATATCTTTTCATTGCTTTTCATAAATATCCCAGCGAGTTATTCAATATCCAATGTTTACTTCTTCACTGCTTGGTTATGTCGTGACCGTGACCTTGTGACCGTACTGTACTGACCGTCAGACAATTTCTACTCTTATTCTTCCTTCGTATTTGGCGAATTGCTCTGCCGTGAATTAGTCGTTCTACGCATGAATATCTTAATTCCGATGCCTCGTTCAGACCTTGCTCGAAAGGGACTCCACTATGCATGGATTTTAGCATTTGGACGTTGTTCAAAGCATACTCAACTATGTAAGGATTTTGGCATTCTCGCTGTCGCCATCTCTTGGTGTTCGTTAGAACTATCAAGTAAAATTAGGTCATGACGGACAAAACTGTGTCAATGTCAAGGTCGTATCGATTTCGGTTTCCGCTTTCCGGCGAGGACTTTTCTCAGTTGGCCATGATTCTTCTCCCAAGGTGGTTGTCCTCGCAGCAGCAGCAGCAGCACGCGAACTAGCTGGTGAGTCCATGTTTTTTTCTTGAAATCTTTTGGTAGCATTTCAATGCTGGAAATCTTCATCCCTTCAAGGCACTATTTATTCTGCTCACCTTTATGGGGCCTAACCAAGTTGCCCAAATGCAGTACAAGAGACCCAGACGTCCCGACTTCGACCACGTGACTCTTATGCCGACCGGACCCTCATCGCCACGTTCCTGCTCACCAATGTTCAACAAGGTTTATTTGTTAAAACCCTCGATCCAAACGAGGTGAGTTATTTTGTCTCCCCATCAGTGATCCAGGCGGTCTCTATACGCCCCATAATTTATTTTAGGGTTTTATGTTGGAGTTATGAAGGCCACTCATCCACGTGTCCCGTACCTCATTCAGGGGCTATGTATGTAACAGGGGGCCCTATATATCAGTTCACCGAATGTCGTGGAGACCATGATGGGAATTTTCCAACTTCAACCCACAGGTTTCTGAGTCTCCTCGAACCTGGCCAGTGGTGATCCGTCCAGACACCAATTTTGAAGCTGCCCTTCAATGTCGCCATCTTGTGACCATCTTCCACGTCCAGTAACCGTCGACATCTAGCAGATAACTGCATATTGGATAACTCAGGTTTTTTAGTATTAAGTCCATTGACTATTAATTTTACATAACTTTTACATATTTACATATCAATTATTATGGAGGTATAATTTTTCAAATTTCAACACACTGTATGTTCAAACCCTACTTGAACTTTGGAAATTACATGTATCAGACATGAATCATAACAACGTTCAGCGGAAAATGCGCATATTGACCCCCAAAAATTCATGAATTTTCAGGGTATAATCAACATCAATTATAATAGTCCAATAACAATATTCTTCAAAATGGGTTTATAGGAATTTGAACTAAAGTGTCAACCATATAAGTATCATATCTGATAACATCAGGAATTGAAGAGCTTCCATAATATTCTACTATAATGTATATAATTATTAATGTATTTCATGAAGGAATTTTTCATCATTAAAATTGTGTGTATTTTTGAAGTTTCCATGTTTTTACTGATATCTCTCTCTCTCTTCAAACTCAACCCACAGGTTTCTGATTTTACCCTAGACATACTATCTATGTTCTGAAAGAATCAGTGGCGTCCAAAAATTAATTATATACTCAAATACATATCAAACTCACAGTCAAGGTGATATTATCTAGTAATTGATTTTAAAATATTGAGATATCTGAGAAATAGCAAAGGTATCAACCCACACCCATATGCCGCCGACGAAAAGCTACCAGGTGCAGTGAAAAAGGTAAATTTTACGTTACACTATTTGGCGCCCTTTTTAACGTGGTAATCTGCTCAACACACAGTATACTAACTTTGCTATTCTCAGCTTATTATAAAATATAAAGAAGAGAGATTTCAGTGGAAGATTGAAAGCTTCAATAATTTGTTTCACATTCATAAGTATACTAGACAGGTTTTCTAGAACATTGTACTTGGACATATTTTTTTCAATATTTAAATTGGACTTGCTGGACATTCAAACGCACCCTCGAAATTGGTGACTGGCCATATACAAAAAACTAAAGAAAAAACACAAAAAAAAATATTCTTTTGTTATTCTCATCAGGATGAGATATTTTTGTTCAGTTTTTGATTTGATTTTGAGTACAAAATTGCATTAACTTTTTTCAAAAAAGGATTTGATTATTCATATAGCAAATTTGTACAACAATCAAGTTGTTTTTTTTTTCACAAAAAAAAAAAATTGAATTTGGTTTTCATACTAATTTCTGAATTAGAAATATTACATACTTTGCTTTTGATTATATATTTCCCTAGATGGAAATTCATTGCTGCTGTAATGCATATGTTTTTTTTTAATTTGAGAATTCCTTAAATGGAAATATTTTTGCTTGAGTGAAGCAAATCTACTCATGATTATTTAATTCCTTAAGTGGAAATACTTTTGCTCTGATGAAGCATATTTTTGGTTCTTATTGTTGCCTGAAGAAGGTATACCTACTATTGATTGATATTTCTTTTTGAAAGATATTGTTGTTTGTTGAATGGCTTGAAAAATGAGCATAGTTTTTGAGTTTCTGAATTGAATGAGTACAAGGTGACGACTTTGTCTCATTTCTAAATAATTATTATATATTATGAGATATACATTTTCTTTCTTGAATTAACTTTTCATAAAAATTTGAAATAATTTCTTGAATTTTTTTAACAGATTTCATATTCCTTACCTGATTTTGATATTACAGGCGTTACCTGATAACTTTGAATTTGATTCCATTTGATTCAACATACAAGGTGAATTCTTGTTAAGATTTTGATTTACAGGGTGATTTCCTGATATTAAATATTTGAATATTTTAAACTTGAACAATTACTTGAAACATCACTAGCCTATAAATTTTTTTTTTACTTTTCTTCGACATACAGGGCGGACCTGATACATTACATACAGGGTGATTCCCTGATATTATACATTTGAATATTTACTGGTCTATGAATTTTTTTTGTTACTTCTCTTCCACATACAGGGCGGACCTATTACTTTACATACAGGGTGAGACAGTGCAGCTATACAGGGTGTTATTATAAATTTGAATTTTTTTACATTTTTTTTGTTTTACACAAGCATCATGAATCCTGATAAATTCCAAGTCAATCATTTACTAGATTATGAACTCGAATATGAACTTTCTATTCGAAAAGTAAAATCAGTCAGACCAGTTGTTGAAAAACGGAAAATTTTAAGAAAACTTTTGGAAAAGGAACAAGTGAGACCAGATAGTACTGTAGTATTGACATCATACCCTTTCGACTGTGAAAAAGAACAAAACGAAATTAACAATACTTTTATTCAAATTGCTGCAAATATAATAGACTTTGCTGATATTGGAGATCCTAATGATAATTTATTTCAGAGGACAATTTCTAGAATAGTTCATGTTACAAATAGAGTCAACAGAATAGAACAATGCTTGCTAATTGAAGGTTTAATACCAGCAAATAAGAAAGAGGAATTGAAAGAATTTCAATCTGAAGGTTATGCAACTTGCCTAACTTTAGAAGCTGACCTCACAGCTAACATCAAAAATAATGATCCAGTTCCTGGTAATAGTAATACACTCCCTCCAGTGATAAATGTTGCGCCCCCAATAGTTAATTGTTCTAGATCTTCTGTCCCAATATCGTCATGGGGAATTAAATTTAATGGAGACTCTAAATTGTTATATGAGTTTTTGGAACGAATCACAGAGTTAGCAGAATCTCGTAAGGTTTCTGAGCAGAACTTATTTGAATCAGCAGTTGAACTTTTTGAAGGTGATGCTTTCGTTTGGTTTCGAAGTATTAAATCCAGCGTTCATGATTGGTGCTCACTTGTTTCTCTTCTAAAAAGAGATTTCTTGCATTCTACAGCCGACGAGGATGTTTGGGAGCAAGTTAAGAAACGAAAACAAAAACGCAATGAACCGGTAGCCATTTTTATTGCACATTTAGATGCACTTTTCAATAGACTTTCAAAGAGCCCTGCAGAAGTAACTAAAGTAAAATATTTAAGACAGAACATTTTGCCAGAATACATAAGTCAGCTAGCATTGGTTGACATAACTACGGTGTCGTCCTTCTACGAATATTGCAGGAAATCAGAGGAAGCTAACTACATCAAAAATAAAAACAGCCCTTCTTGCCAAGTAGCTGAACTTTCTGACCAAAATTTTGACAAAAGAGAGTCCACAGAATTTGTGAATAAGAATCCTCAAAATAATTTTAGACAAAATTCTAATAATTTTAGACAAAATTCAAATAATTTTAGACAAAATTCAAATAATTTTAGACAAAATTCAAATAATTTTAGACAAAGCGGCAGTTGGTCTAA